TTTATATATTTCCATATGTATTCGGCCCATCGTCAAATACAAACCCTAATGGATCCGGTCTCTACACATATAGTCCGGCCCACACTTTAATTAGATGCTTAAAGCCCAATTACTTAATTCTTTATTAGATCACTTTAATTTTGGGCTTAACTTTAAGATAGCATTTATACACAGTTAATTACATATGTCGGCCCATCACGGGAAATTAAATAATTTCCCAACAATTTTTGACATGAACACAATTAAATCTAGTTTTGATCTCTCAATCCAGTTCTAACCCCAAAAAATTGCAAGCGGGTAACAGTCAATATAGTGAGAACAACGATTCAATAAGCATCTAAATTTTTAAGAAGTCAAGTCAATTTCTACAGAGAAAAGGAGAAATTATATATACCAATATAATTATATTGCATCTAAATTAGGGCAATACTTCCATTAAATAGCCAATCTAAAAAAACTACCATTGAGCTGGATCTCTGCAGTGACTATACTCAAGCATGTATGCATGATGCCTGTGTTTCTGATTAATGGGTTCTTGAAATACAAATATTATACATGTGATCATACAAAAATTAAAAGATTTCCGCATACACCATTGAATAACAGCCAACAGTATTTTTTATAATCAGATGGGTAATTGAGTATGCATCAAAGAAGAATTAAAGAAGCCGAAATGAAATCCCACAAATATGTAAAAGAAAACAGAAATTTCTGTTGAACTATATTTGTACAGTAAAGATAGAACTTTTACCTGGAAGAGCGTCTTGTTTATGGTTTAGACTGAAAATACTCACAGAAGGAACAGAAATCAGTAGTGAGATTGAAATGTTATAGACTGAGAGGGGGTGGGCCGCGTGGGGTGTTCACCAATTGGGCTTTGGTTTGAAGACCAGATTGTACTTGGACGAGTTAAACGGGCAGCTTGGCAGTCCACATCAGGTGGATGCTATCCAATTAAAATTTGAGAAAATTACACCTACACCTGAAATTAGATTTTCAATTTCACAAATAAGGTCACAAATTTAACATTTCAAAAATCAAATTTTAAATAATAATTTTTAAAAAAAATTATTTTTATTTTTATATCTATATACAATAAAATAATTTGACTCAATCAAACCCTAAATCATTTGAATCAATTCTTCCCCTCCATCCTCTCTCCTCCCACCGCTCACCGCCTCCATTTCTCTCACCTCTCTCCACAGCGCCACCTCCTCCCACCATCACCGCCGCATTCACTATCCAACTGTTTCTTCCTCACTATGGCGAAGGCGACGGCGACTCCACCTCACGAGGGCGACTGTAGGTGAAGGGGACGGCGACTCCACCATTTTTTTTCTTCTCGTTGCTTCTTCTCCGCCGGATCTGCATCTGCATCTCCCTCCCAACGAAGTTGTCGACACCCTCTTGTGAGGCCGAATCTGAATTTCTTTCTCTCCGTCTCCCTATTCCTCTCCTCAACAGATCTGGATCTCTCTCCACCATGCTCCAGTCGTGCGCGCTTCTCGATGACTGTAGTGGCGACGACGTGGATCTAGTGTTTCTCCGCTGCTCATATTTAATTTCTGTCGGCCTTGGATTTTGATTTCGGCTTGGTGGTGGTTAGCAAATTCTGGTGGTCTTTGTAATTGGGTGGTGGTGGTTGTGATGTGCGGTGGCACGGCAGTGGTGATATTGGCGGTACGGTGAGATTGGTGGTTGTGGTGCGATGGTTGTGGTTACCTGTGACTTATTATTTGGTTATTTGTGCGCTGCGAAGTGTGGATCTGAAGTTGGTGACGGCGGTGGTTGTGTGTTATGTGTGTGATTTGTGTGGTTGCTTTGGCTGTGCGTGTGGCGATGGGGGTCTTGGGGTGGCGATAGTGGTGTTGGGGATGGTGCCGCTGGTGGAGGCGGTGGCAGTGGCTAAGCGGTGGTCACAAATAATTTAGTTGTTTGTGACCATTAATTTGGTCGGTTGGCGACCAATAAACGATATATGACCAATGAATTAGATAAAATGTGACCAACACATGATTTGTGACCTAAAAATTATTAGTTTGTGACCAATAATTTGATAAATTGTGACTTAAATATAGTTTATGTGTCAATTAATGTGATGTTTGTGATCGTAAATAAGTATTGTGACTTATAAATTTTGTAATTTGTGACCGACAAACAAATTGTGATTTTTAAATTTTAAGTTGTGACCGATAAACAAATTGTGACCTATGAAAATTTTGAATTGTGACCTAAAAATTTTCGCCGGAGTTGGAATACTTGCCGGAATCAGAGCAGTCGCCGGAACAAAGTGGCGGTAGAACGGTCATCGAAATAATCGTCGGAATCGGATTAATCGTCGAAACGGTCGCCGAAGATCTTTTGTGACCGGAACAGTAGCCGAAATAATCCATTGGAGCAGTAAGGGTGGTGGAGGTGGGATGAGGTAATTATATTATATTAACCGGAACGGTAGCTGGAATAGTCCCCGAAGTGGTAGAGGTGGTGGAGGTGGGGTGGGGTAATTATATTATATTAGAATTAAATATTTAATAGTAAATTGATTTAATAATTCATTATTGCATAAATAAAAAATTAAAAAACCTGATTTGTAAAATTTGGAACTTGTTCTTGTATTTTTGAAATGGTGTAAAGTAAATACTTTAGAAATGTATTGTTCCCTTAAAATTTTCATTATAAAAAGTTGAAATTTTATTAAAATAATTTAAAAAATTAGAATTGTATTTTATTGATTATGAAATTGTACTAGACATGTCAATTAGCTCGATACATACTAAACTCTTTATAATCTATATTGTCATAAAATATTTATTATAAATATGAGCACTAGATGTTGGGAATGGTCAAAACACCGATGAATAATCGTTTTTTCTGTATCGTTAGTCACCTTTTAAACATACTTTTTATCTTTCTTTGTTATAAGTTTTAACCTATAAGAGAATTCAAACATAATCTCGCTTATAAGTTTACTTCCAAGTACACAAGGAAATTCTAAAATAAATGACTCTTTTATGGATCAAAATTAAAAATAAGTTACTCTATTTTTACATTAAGGCAATAATTAATTTCAATTAGTTGGGTTTCTTACTTAAAATAAGAAAAATTAATTTGTAGAGATGTGTTGAGTTTATCCAAGAACGTTACGAATGGGCAAGTTCTAATGTTCTATAGAACATAAAAAAGGCTGAATGAAATCACTTTTTGGAGGTTATCCCCAAATAGAACGCATACATTCAAAAATGAGTGCTTTCAAAGCGGTTACAGTTAGGGATGGCAAAAAAGTTCGTCGACTCGGGATCGGCCAGGAAAAAGTTCAAGCGGGCCAGGGCTCGAGCTCAATTATACCAAACCGAGGCTCCGATCGAGCCCCATTTTGGGGTGCTGGCTCGAGCCCGGGCTGGGCCGGCCCATGGCCCGGGGAAGCCTGCCCATTAAAAAAAACTTTTAATTAATTTTTTAAAAAGGAGCTGGCTTTGCTGGCAGCTATTTTAAGCTGCCTGGCAGCAAAGGCTACCTACTGCAGCCTTATTAAAAAAAAATCAAGTTGGCTCGACCCGCTAAAGCTCGGGTCAAAGCTCAGACCGAGCCTCATTTTTTTTGGTCGGGCTTTGCTCGGTTCGGCTCGTTGACATAGCTAGTTGCAGTTGACACTATTCAGATTTCAGACCAAAAATCCTAATTGCGTGAGTCAATAATTTAAACCACGTTCTAGACATTTTAATTTTAATTATAGGAACTTATATGTGTATCATAAATAAGGGATTGTGAAATATATCTTTCTAGTCGAGCAATCTAAAGCCTTGAGATGGTGGCTAGACTCGAGCACGAGAGTTATTACAATTTTGTTACGAATTGGAATATGCATTAGTGATTATATCACAATCATGTTCATGATGATTTTCAAACTAGCTCACCTTGTTATAAAAAAACATTATTATTTTAGTTTTTTGACTAATAAGTTGTTCTTCCAACAATAAATCAAATTATAAAAAATAAAAAATAAAAATCACGTAGTCACTAAGTTTTTAAAAATTAATATTTTATTTTTTTAACTGGCTAAGAAATAAATAATAATTAAACAGATATTCCTTAAAAAAAAAAAAAAAAGAGGAGTTTTGTGTCTATACCACCATCGCAACGACGAAATGGCTGCACCAAATATCACCACGACAGAACCTCCGCGCACCAACACCTACTACCACCGTGACCACCACAACCACCAACTTCACCAACACCTGTATCACCTACCGCACCAGAATCAGCAGCATCTTTGCACACACCACAACACACAAATCACCACCAAAAATCATATCACCACACACCACCGTATGCACAGATCACCATCACCACAGCCAGCACCACCACCACTACCCGACCCCAAAACCACACCAAAACTAGATCTAAAACAACCCCCATGCTCAACATCAATAAATAAATAGCCTGATGGCAAATTGAAAGGAGGTGGCGGGTTTGAGTTTTGTACTTTAGGGATCGAAACTAAGGCTGCACATTCTCGCTTAGATATGGACCTTCCAGGAATCAGAGCTTCAGCAGGGAGATTCAAAGCCGGGGTGGGGCGATAAACAGGCATAGGTTTTGAAATCAGCTTTGGGTTTGGTAAATCAAATCTGGCTCTCTTAATCGATGGAGCCGACGCCGGTGTTGGAGCCGACTAAGGATGTTCTGGTCGTTCGCCTTCATCGTCGATGTCGAAGAGAGAGAGAGAGAAGAAAGACAGAAGGGAGGTAGAGAGATAGGAGAGGACACAGAGAGGCTTGAGAGAGAAGAGAAGGAAAGTGATAGGTTTGGGAGTGATAATAACTGAAAACAACAAAAACGCGTTTTGAAAATTTTGGCCAAATTATAACTGAAAACACCCAAAACGATTGAGTTTTTTTTGTAAATTTTAAACTTGTTTTCAAGAACATATTTTCACTGTTTTGAAAAATCGAAAACAGAAAACGATTTGAAAACGGCAAAGAGAACGACTCCATAATATTTCTGTAATATGCATGTGAAGAAAAAAGTACTGCAAAATAAATAAATCAAATTTCTGAACAGTGGAAACACTTAGGGCCTGTTTGGGCCGGATTAAATTTTGATTTTAATTCAAGTCAAAGTCAAACAATCAATATTAACCACATTTTTCATGGTCCCACATCTTTTCAACCACACGTTTCAAAAATTTCTATCACAATCCACTAAAAATCTAATTTTACTCCTCACTAAGCACCCTCGTAATGTAACACACACATTAATGAATTTCTTCACCCTTTCTATCCATGTGTTAATTAGAATCTGTTATATAATCAAGAAATTATTTAGATATATATACAATAAGAAAAATCGTAATTTCCCATAAATTCTCTCCTTTTTTTTTTCCCTCTTTACAAACTAGAATATAACAAAAGTATACAATAATCTTTTTCCCCTGAAGAACAAAAAAGAAAAGAAGGCCTACAATTTTTCATATTATGATAAAGATTATGCTTTCCTGGGCTTAGGAGTAATCTTGATGACAAGACCAGGAAAAACATCATCGGAATCATGAATATGTGGGTTCTGCTCGACTATGAAGGGATCATCGCATTTGTCGCTGATACTGTGGAGAGTTTCACCTTCTCTTGCAACATAGATTTCCTCGCAGGGGTAGTCTTTCAGCTGGTTATTTCTCACTAGAGAATTATTCATTATCAGTGATGATGATGAGCCCACCAATATGAGAAACAGAAAAATAATTGCGCAGGATGCATAACTTGGAAATGATGCTTTTAAGGATTTTTCAAGGAGTATCTGATATATTCTTTGCCTCTGTTTGACAAATTTATAAATTATATCTGCAAAGAGAAATAATAATGAATTTTATGTGATCATGTAGAGTGGAATTAAAATCAAATTTTTAGTAGATTTTGAAAAAAATTGATAAAATGTGTGATTAAAAGTTGTGGAGCACATAAAATATACGATTAAAATTAATAGTTATTTTTTATTTAAATTAAATTTTAGATTTTAATCAGTATCAATGGACCATATAAAATATGCAGGGGTGGGGTCTAATGGGTTAGTTGACTGGTGGCCGTGGATGTGGGTCGAAGACTTGTGAATAGGAAGGAAGTTGGGTCCAGGTTTTCTACGATATCATTGCGTGTAATTTTTGGTCTTGTATGGCGGATTCTTGAAACATTCAAGATCAAACTAAAATTAAGAATTTTTGCTCTAAAGGTTCGTTTGATTGTAAGGGTGAAAAATAAGTGGAAAAAAATGAATTACAGATAAAGCAGTTGTCTAGAACTTGTTTTCCAGGGAAGTTAATTAAGTGTGTTTGATTAGTATAATTTTCCACCTGGAAAATTTTAAAATTTTGGATCTTTTTGTTTTCGTTTGACTTTATTTTACGTGGAAATTGTCCATTAAAGTGATAATTTTTTCCACGGTTGGTTTTAAAATTTATTTCCATTGCCAAAAAGTAAAACAAAAAAAATATATTTCCTAAAAAATTATTTTTTTAATCAAAATTTAGTGTTCATTTGATTTTATTTTACATGAAAATTGTCCATTAAAGTGATAATTTTTTTCACAATTTGTTATAAAATTTGTTTCCATTGCCAAAAAGTTTTTAAAAAAATTGCTTCCTAAAAAATCATTTTTTTAATCAAAATTTAATATTCGTTTGACTTTATTTTATAGGAAATGGGCGCGTGAGGGGGTGGTGGAAAAATTTG